TTTTTTTTTTTTTTTTTTTTTTTTTTTTTTTGAGACGGAGTTTCGCTCTTGTTACCCAGGCTGGAGTGCAATGGCGCGATCTCGGCTCACCACAACCTCCGCCACCTGGGTTCAGGCAAGTCTCCTGCCTCAGCCTCCTGAGTAGCTGGGATTACAGGCACGTGCCACCATGCCCAGCTGATTTTTTTGTATTTTTAGTAGAGACGGGGTTTCACCATGTTGACCAGGATGGTCTCAATCTCTTGACCTCGTGATCCACCCGCCTCGGCCTCCCAAAGTGCTGGGATTACAGGCTTGAGCCACCGCGCCCGGCCACATCATCTTAAGACAATAGCCATTTTATTGTACCTCACAATTTGTGAGACAGAGAAAAGGGCAGGCTCAGCTGGTGGGTATTCTTGTTCATGTAGCATCGCCTGAGGTCACTTGGTGGCTTTCAACTCAAGAATGAACTCAGTGGGGTCTGGAGGATTGAAGATAGCTGTAATCACATTCCTGGCACTTTTGACAAGGATAACTCAAAACCTAGTTTTATCTGGGATTGTCAACCAGAGGACCTACATATAGTTTCTCTAGTATAACAGTCCTACGATAGTTAGACTATGCTGACAGTAGCACAAAAGACAGGAAGGCAGAAATAGATAAATTTTGTTATAAAATTTTTATATTTTGTATGTGAAGGTGTGTAATATTTGAAGTTATGTTGTGACAGGTTAGATGTGCATATTTTAGATATGAGAGCAATCACTAAAACTACAAAGATGCAAGTATATTTATAATAGGCCAGTAGTGGAAATGAAATGGAAAACTAAAAAATATTCAATTTCAGATATGACAGAATAAAAGGAAAAGGGAACAAGAACAGATTGGGACAAATAGAGAAGAACATGATGGTTCATTCAACTCCAACCATGTAAATAATTACATTGATTTGAAATGATGTAAGTATTCTAAAGTCAGAGATCATTGGGCTGGATAAAGTAGCACGACCTAAATATGCTGTTTACAAAATATTCCCTTCAAATACATACAAAGAGGTTGAAAGTAAAAGAATCGAAAGAGATATTATGCAGATACTAATCATTAAGAAAACTGAAGGGAGCTATTTTAATATCCAATAAAATAAATACAAAACATGAAATAATACCAGCAGTATTATATTTCTTAATGATGTAAGAATCAATTAATTAAAAAGACATAATTCTAAATGTCTATAAGCCTAGTAACAGAGCCTTAAAACACTGGAAGCAAAAATGGACAGAACAGAAAGAGAAACAGATAAATCTAATACAGTTATATATCTCAACACTTCTCTTTCTCACTTTTCTCTCAATTGATAGAACAAATAGGCAGAATATCAGTTAAAAAGCAAAACAAAACAAACAAACAAAAAAACCAGAAATCTGAAACAGTACTAGGCGTAAAATGGAGAAAATCAACAAAGCCAAAAGTTGTTTCTTTGAAAACATTAATAAAATTGATAAACTCCTATACAAAAAAAGAAAGTTCAAGTTAACAACATAAGAATAAAAAGGAAACATTAATAGAGATCCAGAAAATACATAAGGGATAAGAAAATATTATGAACAATTTTATGTCAATACGCTTGACAGTTTAATGAAAGAAACAGATTCCTTGAAAAATACAACATAAAAATGACTCAAAAAAATCTGAATACTGCTGTATTCAGCAGTAAAAAATCTGAATACTGGTAAAAAAAATCTGAATATCTGTTAGAGATATTGACTCCTTAATTAGAAATCTCCCCATCTCTAGAGGCATTCGTCAACTGAATTAGGTCTCAGTATTAAGTCCTTGAATGTGTCTAGAAATTTAAAACCACTGTAGCTGGCAAATTCTCCCCTCAACCCACCCCCCATATAGTTTTCTTCATACTACTTTCTGTTTATTTATTTTGCATCCCTGTTGTTGGAGTTTTTAAGGGACCATTAATTATGTCGCTTTTTATTCTAACCTCTGAATTCTTTGAGTAGACTTAAGATGAGAAAGAAGATGTCAGTTTTGTTTATGGAGAAGCTAGGTAAAAGAGTACACTTAGCATTGTGTCTAGTCTTCCTACCCCTTCAAATTGGATTGACTTAACTTGCCCAGTGGTGTTTAGTATGTAGATGACTGGACAATGCCTGTGCGTTTGGGCAAGCAAGTTCTGAGAGTCAGAGACCAATGACACACGTGGCCAGTCTTTTACCCTTTCTCACCAAACAGGTGTGCCAGAAAGAGGGAGAAATGTGGGTGTTTTGTCACCTACAACTTAGGTAACGCCCTTATTATGGTCTCTTTTTCCAAGCAGTCACGCCTTCCCAGTTCGGATGGAACCCATGGTTAGTCCACTGCCGACTTACTTTCAGTTCCTTATGTCCTTTGGACCTTATGCTCTATTGTGAACAAGTTATTATAGCTTTGATCTTTTTTCATAACTGTTCTCCCTTCTCTTCCATAGAAATTTAAACCTGGCAAAGACCGCAATTTTTTTTTGTTTTTTGTTTTTTTACCATCTCAAGAAAAAGCATGGTATTTAAAAAATCCTAGCTTTTAAAGGAGGGTTGATGTATACCTTTGCTCACCAGTGTCAATTCAAGGCTCAGCACTGTTCATTATAAGGCCACCTTTGTTCATTAGTTCCTTTTCTTGTAAATTTTTCACCGTTGTCTCCCTTTTCTAATTCCTGTTGTTGGTTGACTTCCAGGACACTGCTCCAAATTCTTCTATGATGTCACTACTGGGCTTGAAAGTAATGTCAGCTCACACCATGTGGCGGTAATCTGTTTCTCCAAATCCTTATTTTTGAGTTTCTGATACTCAGAACTCATAGTTTTTTTAACTTTCTCAGTTATGCCAATCAGAATTGTTCCAATATCTTAAATACTGAAAGCCCCTCTTTTCTGTTTTCTTCTTCTCTGACAGTGTTTTTCTCTTAACTCTTAAATTCAAATATTTTTTCATTCATATACTTTCTCTTCATCTCTTTTTCTCCCGTCTTCTTTCCTCTTCCCTTTCCCTGCCCCTCAGTCTCAATAGATAGTCTTGCCATTGCGTCTGAAGTCCCTCAGTGTTACTCCCTTACACACAAAATGTTTATGCTCATCACCCACCCTTTCCTCTGTTTCTAACCATAGAGAAACAACTGTTTCTCCTGCTTAATGTCTAACTGTACTAAAGTTCTTGTTCCCATCTTCTCTTGAATCTGTTCCATTATTTACCGTTCTCCCTTTATATTTCTTCTCTTTACTAGCATTAAAGATGGAAAAAAAAAAATAATCAACACCAACAACAAAAACTTTGTTAAAAATTCAGCTTCATTTTCAAAGCATATCAGGCTTCTTAGAAGACTAAAATTTGTTGGTTAACTCCACTTTTTTGCCTTTAAAAAAAATCTTCCAATTATTGGAAATCTTTGTTCACTTTTATTGCCTTTCTGAAAGGAATTCCAAAGGTACTAGTGACTGGTAAGCTCTTACCAGTTCTTCCGTCCTGAAAAAGCAGGACAGGGCACTCTCTTCTTTTGCTCTTCTTTGGTGACTTCATTGATAGATGGCAATCTTTTGTGGAAAGCCCCTTCTAAAATAAACCTTTTAGGAGATGTGCAAACTGTTCTGTTGATTTAGTGCAGCAAACAAGACTACAGAGATGATTCTGAAATGATACCTCCTTAGAGAAAAGTTGTATAAGGTTTTTTATTAATTATACGTTGGAGCTCCGAAATTCTAGTACAGGCTATCACAAATGAAGTGAGTCATTGGATTGGTTGATTTCTTAAGTTCATGGTTGTTGTAAACCATACATGGTTCTGTTGGGAAAGAAAGGTCTATTGTGACCTTATAACTGAATGTTGGTGATGGTTTCAGGTCTCAGTCTTGCATAATTGTTTAGTTGGTTATTCTGGTTCTCACTTTCGAGTGTAATTTCAGAGAATTTTAAACTTTTCACTTTTATTGCAGTTACTCTGATTTCTTTTCATCTTGACTACTGTAGTAACAAAACAGATCTCACTGCTTTTTGAATTTTCTCATGGTTAACTTATACTCAAAAACCAGAGCCATCTTTTAAAATACAAATTTGAATGTGATTTCTGCCAAACACCCTTGATGTCTCTTTATATATAAAATAAAGCCCCATGCACTGAATCTAGCATTCAGCCCCTTAGAGTATAATCTCAGCCCCAAATCCTAGTCCTTATTGATCTCCCTCCCCATTTCCCTTTCTTTGTATTCAGTCCATAAGGCAAGGCTTCCCACATTTTCCCTGTAGTGATTTACCTGCTCCTAAACCCTATAGCACCTTATGTCACTTTTAGCACTTACTACATATGTCTCGATACAGAGTTTCCCCCCCCCCATTATTTCATTTTTAATTGAAGGATGCTGTTCAGGTGACAATTTGCCCCAGAAAAAATACCAGTGGCAAAATCTACCCAGTTGTCCTCTTTCAGCCCTTCCTCTGCCCTTTCTTTTTTTTTTTTAATTGCATTTTAGGTTTTGGGGTACATGTGAAGAACATGCAAGATTGTTGTATAGGTACATACATGGCAAGTGTGATTTGCTGCCTTCCTCCCCATCACCTACATCTGGCATTTCTCCATGTTTGCCTCTTATTGAGGTTTGTATTTCTTAAGAACAAAAACTCTTATTCAACTTCATAGCTCCCTGTTCCCCATGATACTGAATAGGGCACAAATACAGCTAAATTTTAAATAATTCAGTTTAAATCAGGCTTAAATATCTAATAATATATTTTCTAGAATTTTTAGAAGATGGACATAAAAATATGTGAAGACAATATATCTCCTATTTTAGAAGTCTTTGAGCGCAGCTTGAGATTTTTATTTTAGGTTCTTAACTTATACCTGGTATAAGAAATGTAAATTTTATAGAACGTCATAAAACTCTTTTATGGTCTTTCAGGTGCAATCATCTGATTGGCTCTTACAAGTTACCTAGAAATTCTTTTAATTTTGTTATTTCCACTACATTTGTTTTCAGATAAAAATGAATCCCATTTCCATCCAGTACTGAAGTGTTAAAGTTAGAAGACATTTGCTAAGTCAAATCACTTCGGGTAAGTCTGCTCACATCTATCTTGGTACCAGCTTAAGGTTTATTTAAAATACAAAGAATTAAGTTCACTAACTTGGACGTCTCAACTTTCAAATTTCTCAGCGTGTCTTCTAGTTACCTTGTATATTGAATCACTGCTCTTGGGAAATAGTACAAAGATGATTTCTTATTAAATTTCACATGCTTATAAAAATAAAATGTTCAGTTTTAAACTTCTGATGTTATTTTTAAAAATGAGACTAACACCTTAAAATCATCCTTATTTGTATCAAGTCTAGTCATAAAGTCCTAAGTGCCAAACAATGCTTTTGAAATGTTTTTTCCATTGTAGCTTATAATATATATATATATATTAGTTTTTGAAGTCTTTATGCAGCTTTTCTGTATGATTTATATGTTCTTATTTAAAGCAATACTTTGTTAATTAACATTTAAGTACCTTACAGGTATGCAAAGAAAAAAAAATTAACCACCTTAAATGCTTATTAACTATTTGTATAAAAAAATCTCTGAAAGGTCGTCTTAATCACCCTCAACTCTTACAGTAATCTCCTAATAGTCTTTCTGTATTCATTCTCTTTCCCTGTCATATGTTCATTGTTACATAAACCTGTGTTTAGAGCCAATTTAGTAATTTTAAAACCCTTTAATGGCTTCCAACTCCCTCTTAGATGGAATCCAAGTTCCTTTGCCTGTCATTCAGAGCCCCCTACTAAGGTCCTGAAAACAAACCCCACTTGAGCCAACTGGACTTTTCCTATTCTCTGAACTCTCATTGTTCTTCATGCATCTGTCTTGGTTTGTACTGGTTTTCCTGCCTGTGATGTCCCCTGATGCCCTGAAACTATTTCCTCTGCACGTTGAAACCCCGTGCAAGCCTCTCTATGACACGTTCTCTGGTTCCTCCAGCTAGAGGCACTAGCTGTTTCTCTCTACCAGTGTCATCTAATGTTTTGTTGTATCACTGTTGTAGCATGTTTTACCATTTAGCTTTTTTGTTTGTGTTTATGTCTGTCTTATCTCCCACCCTAGATTATAAGGACTATAAAATCAAAGATCTTACCTGATTTTTGTCTCCTACAGCATTCACCATAGCCTTTAGTAATGCTTAGTAAATATTTATATAATAAATTAAGAATGTGCTTGACTTTTTCTCTCATTATTTCCTCTGTCTTTAATCCTTGTAAACATATATGGTCCATATTCTTGGCAACCATTCTTGTTCTGCACTCCTCATTGCCATCTTATCCTAGGAAAATGCTGACCATAGTGCAGTTAACAAGATACAGTCAGTTCCAGACCCAAGAAATACACTGTATTCCAAAAGTTCATGTCTAGTTCTGTTGTTTGGAATGCAGAAAGCATTTTTCCATAAAAACAATGTTATAAATAGTGGTTAGGTTCTCGGCCAGCCCTCCCAAGACTATTTAACTCACAAGTACCAGTACCGCTTTCACTATGGGCAGCCACAGTGTACAATGCTGTTTTGTGGAGAGATTGTAGCTCTGGATATGGAAATAAATCTCCCATGCTCTAGAACCAGGACAGAAAGTTTCTGGGCGGGTTGAACAGTAGGAGGGTCCGAGCTGGGGCTCTGACAGTGTTGGATACTCTCCCATCAGAAGCTTCTCGGTTTTCAGTAGATACAGGAGAGACTTTAGATGAATGATACTCTCATTCATCTAAATTGAGGGCAAAGGGACACTTGCTCTTCTGATCCTTCCACAGTTGATGAGGTTCGTAAACAGGGTTTTCTCTATCCTTTCACATGGGTGGGTTGTTTGTAAATCACTTATCGACAGACCAGGGACTATTTCACTACTTCCTCCTTTTGGATATTATACAAACTTATGGGAATTGAATATATAAAACATGGAATATATTTCTATCTATAGGAAAAAAACACATTTATAGGTGTCACCCCTATATTTGATATCACATCAGTTTTTGTGGACATGTGATTATCATTTACATGGGCATAATGATGCTTCTAGTAAGAAACACGTCAGTATGTACATAAACAACTGTCAACGTTGATGGTTGAGGTTGTCCAGATGTAAGAAAAAACGCTTCATAAATTTCAGAGGATTTAATTTATTCAGTCATTATAATTATTGAACATGTGAGTGTCTATGCTTAATACTGTTGTCAATGCTAGAGTCTAGGAAATGAGAACAAAAGATGTTATATAAAGTTTGTCTTCCTTGGGAAGTCTGAAATATAGGGAGCTAAAATATTAAACATTCACATTGAAAACAATATATGATTAATTGACATAAAATACTTCATAAACATAAAAAATGCCTTTTTGATTCTCAGAATAGCAGTATCATTATATTCCCATGGTTGTAAGGATACTGGTGGGATTTCACTTAGTTTTAGAAGAATAGTGAAGTTATAAAGAGACAGCTAGAGAGGAAATGATATTCCAGGTTGGATTAACAGCATGAATAGAGGACTGGCTACACAAACAACAACAAAAAAGCATTACTGGGCCTGGTGCGGTGGCTCACGCTTGTAATCCCAGCACTTTGAGAGTCCCAGGTGGGTGGATCACGAGGTCAGGAGTTCAAGACTCGCCTGGCCAAGATGGTGAAACCCCATCTCTACTGAAAATACAAAAAAAAAATTAGCCAGGCATGGTGATGGGTACCTGTAATCTCAGATATTCAAGAGGCTGAGGCAGAGAATTGCTTGAACTCGGGAGGTGGAGCCAAGATCGCACCACTGCACTTCAGCCTGGGCAACAGAGCAAGACTCTGTCGCAACAAAAAAAAAAGAAAAAAGCATTACTGAATGGAACAGAAGGGTTAATTCATGTTGGGTGAAAAAAATAGGGGGGCAGAAATTAGACCAGTGGTTCAACCCTGGCAGTAGATAAGAATTGTCCATAGATATTTGTAAAGATATTACATCCCTAGATCTTAGCCCAGAACTAGTAAATAGAGTTTCAGGGGCATGGGACATAAGCCTGTCTATTTTTTAAAGATCCCCTTGTGGTTCTGATATTCAGCCAGGGTTGAAAATCCCTGAATTAGAAGAATGGGCCAAATTTAGGAGAGCCATGAATGCCCTCCTGAGGAGTTGGGCCTCTGTCCTTCAAGCAGTGGGAAGACTTCAGAGGTTTCTGAGATGTGTGACATGATCAGATTGGTGTTTGCCAAGATAAACGATTTGTCAGCTACATGTGAATAAAAGAGAAATAAGAAACAGCTTGAATTAGAGCAGTGGTAGTGGTGAAAAAGAAGAGTTACCTTTTTAAGTGTAGTTAGATGTGTGGGAGCTGGTGATGTCAGCCTTGACCTCAGCATGATCTGTTTTATAAACTGATTATACAACTTCACCCTCATTAATTTGATCTCTTTTCTCATTCGGCCTGGCAACTTAAATAGTAATTTCAGCCAGTTTGCATTTAATGGAAGGAGACCATTGTCTACTCATGTACCCGTCTAACTCATAATGGTAAGTGAAGTTACGTGTATGAGGAATATGACCTTTAACATAATCATTATAAAGCATTTAATAACTTCCCACATATGCAATAACACAAACCCAGTCCTGCATGATTGTGCCAAGAGCCAGAATCACAAGTATAAAGTAGTTATTACCACACAGTTCCTTAGCATTAAGTTCAAATGTGAAGAAATGTTCTATGTCATATTATGCATTTTAATATTTTTAGCATTAAATTTGATAATTGCATAATTTTCTGATGTTAGACCCAAGCATGCCTCTTGACTACAACACCTGTTCTTTCCCTGAGTTTATGCTTCTCTTCAGCAAGGAGTGCAGTCCCTCACCCCCCGTTTGGATCCATCTCCTGCTGGTGTCAATCAATGAGCACCCCTACCCTAGCATCATCCAAAGGTATAACTGGGCCAGCAGAGAGGAGTTTTAAAGGAGTCAGAATTTCTCTTGTGGCACAGACGCACAAAGGATCTTGGTGGCTCTTTTGCTTCTGCCCTATGGGGGACATGATAGCTGCCAAGGTACACACACTGAGGAGTCCCAAGTCTCACCACAGGTCGGAACCATTTCAAACCTCTTTGATGTGCTTAAAAATTTTTTATGTTTGGAGGCAATGAACCACATTAATTAGCAGAGAATAAGTTCATAAAGTTTTGATGTGACCTGCCTTCTTTTAAAAAAGGCTCAACATCATAAAATTTTAAAAAACAATGCCTTTCTTGGCAATTCTTTAATAGTGCACATGTGACAACAGTTTCTGCCATGGTCTTTGTCCATGACAATGAATTTATTGTTGTTTTATCAATATCGCCACATCCTATGACTTACGTTTCTAATAGCTACTTAAGTTTCTGCTAATCACCCAAACGTTTAACCAGAGAGTGAATGGTTTGCTTAGAGGGAAGCGAAAGGAGGTAACATTTATCAAGTGCCCAATCTGTGCCATGTTCTTTACATGTTTTTCCACTTTACATTTGCTTAGAGGGAGGAGAAAGGAGGTAACATTTATCAAGTACCCACTCTGTGCCATGTTCTTTACATGTGTTTTCCATTTTAACTCCATTTTACAAATGAGCAAATTGGACTTTATAGAGGTTTAAAAAAACTTACCTGAAGTCAAAAGTTGAGTCGGCAATAGAAATTGGATTTGATTACAGGTCTGGCTGTCTGACTGTCTAATCATCCTGGTCTTACAAATCTTCATGGCGTTTATTTGTGGGGTAACATCAGTGAACTTAGAATTAGGAGGTTTGAGTACAGGCTTCACTTCTTCTATAGTTTGGATGTTTGTCCCCTATGATATGGCTTGGCTCTGTCCCCACCCAAATCTCTCCTAGAATTATAATCCTCATAATTTCCACGTGTCTAAGAAGAGACCTAGTGGGAGGTGATTGGATCATGGGGGCAGTTCCCTCATGCTGTTCTCATGATAGTGAGTGAATTCTCACGAGATCTGATGGTTTTTTAAGGGGCTTTCCCTCTCCTTGCTCTTCATGCTTTCTCTTGCTTGCTGCCACGTAAGACATGCCTGCTTCCTTTTGCCATGGTTGTAAGTTTCCTGAGGCCCCTCCAGCCATGTGGATCTGTGAATCAGTTAAACCTCTTTTCTTTATAAATTACCCAGTCTCTGGTATTTCTTTATAGCAGTGTGAGAACAGACTAATACACTCCCCAATCTCATGTTAAAATTTGATATCCGTGTTTGAGGTGAGACCTAAAGGGAGGTGTTTGGGTCATGGGGGCGGGTCACTCATGAATGTCTTGGCGCCCTCCTTGCTTTGTTAGTTTCCACAAAAGCTGGTTGTTAAAAAGAGCCTGGTACTTCCTGTCCTCTTGCTTCCCCTCTTGCTATGTGATCTCCACACATGCGGCTCTCCTTTGCCCCCAGCTGTTAGTGGAAACAGCCTGAGGCCCTCACCAGAAGCCAAGCAGATGCTGGAACTATATGTTTCCTATACAGCCTGCAGAACCATGAGCCAAAGAAACCTTTATTTCTTTATAAATCACCCATCCTGACGTATTTATAACAACACTAAATAGACTGAGACAACCTGTTGTCACTAACAACCTTGAACAAGTTATTTAACATCACCGAGCTTCAGCTTCCTCACCTGTAATATGGAGATAAAACCTGCTTTACCAACCATTTGGGGTTGTTGTGAGAATAATAATCTAGGGAGTTCCCAAATGATTTCATAGGTATATAAACCAATAGAAATTTCAGAGATGTTTAATTCAAGCAAAACACAGCAGCAACAACAATAAAGATTAAATGAGATGAGTTGGACATATTTTATGGTATTTTACTTCTTAGCGTTGCCCTACAAACTTAACTAAAAATGGTGTTGGTCAGATTTGTAAGTTCCAAACACTGTGGTGTTCCAAGCTGCCTCACTGTGCATTTAACACCTCATTGTGGTAGAGAGTGTCCTGGCAATGTATCAAGTACCTGTTTTCACTTGCCAGAAGCAATCATTTGTTTCTATACCATAACAAGTAGGTCTGAACTCTGGTAGATACTGAAGAAATGTTTGTAGCCAATGAGACTACTAACTAGCAATATAGCTTATTGGACTAGAGTTGATACTAACATTCACACAAAGTTTTAGAACAAACCTGAGGAATAAAGACATTTTGTAAAACCGTTTTTACAAAACTCCTTTTCAAAAATGTTTGCAAGTTTCTGGACAACTTTTTTAGGTTACAATATGGTGAATACTGAAAGACAGTTATGAACTGTTAATATCAACTTACAAATCCTTCAAGTATATATATATATATATATATATATATATACAGGCGTGTACACACACACACACACACACACACACACACACACATGAAGTAAGAAGTTTGGGGAAGTCAATGAAATTGTAAGGACAGTGCTATGAATGGACAGCCTGAGAAATATTAAGTCATGTCCTAGCCTTACACAAAACCTTTGCCCAATTAAAGCTCTAAGTCTTTTTTACATGGGACACCAACTGATGAGAGAGGAGCAGCATCAGACTTCAGATATGCAGATACAGATCAAGGAGAGCGCACCCATTTGGTCTTGGATTCCTGAATGTGTGCAACTCTGCTGCGTCTGCCAACTCATTACCTCCCAAAGAGGGCTCCCTAGTCCTCAGATGCTGATTTCAATGTGGCTCCCAGTCCCTGCACTGTGCCTGCTTTCTACATCGGGTAGATGGATAGCTGCAGTTGGGCCCAGGTCAAGTGGAGTGCAAGGGGCAGTACACACGGAAAGCAAAGAAAACATACAACAGAGATTGTAAAAATCAGGACCTCTTGATAAGTTTGGTTCATAAATATGTTTTGTGTAGCCTGCATAATGTTTATTGTTTTTAATTATTAGTATTTTTAGACAGGGTCTCACTCTGTCACGCAGGCTGAAGTACAGTGCTCTTATCATGACTCACGGTAGCCGTGAACTGCTAGGCTCAAGTGATCCTCCCGCCTCAGCCTTCTGAGGTACTGGAATCACAAGTGCAAGCCACGAAGCCTGGCTGTTTTGTTTTTAAAGCAAAAGTTGCTTGTTAACAAGTATTATTTTAACTAGTAACTGATATAATTTTTTGTTAACTAATTTAATGCACAAATCCAGATTTCTGCATTCTCTTGGAAACTGGAAGACCCGGCAACTTTGATCCTGCTCTTGCATGTGGCAGTAACCAGCTAGAGCTAAGTAGAAGCTGCCTCTGTTAGATAGGATGCTGGGCTTTTAGATTGTAGGTTGTAACCGATAACAACCCTGGCTGTTGTTTTTCTTTAAACAGTATTTAGAGGAAAGTTTAAATGTTACTCATGCCACCATCTGTATTAAAATTGAAAATAGCAAGTTGATTGGATAAAATATTCCAGTATAAATGAGAGATTTTCTAGGACTGACTGCATAAGCAAGTACTACAAACTAGGTGGCTTTAAATAACAGAAATTTATTCTCTTACGGTTCTAAAGGTTAGAAATCTAAAGTCAAGGTGTTCGCAGGACCATGTTCCCTCAGAGGCTCATGGGGAGGATTCTGCTTTGCCTCTTCTGGCTTCTGGAAGCCCCAGGCATTCCTTAACTTGTAGCATTAAGCCAATCTGTCTCCATCTTTTCATGGCTGTCTTCCCTCTGTGTCTGTCTGCATCCAAATTTTCCTCTTCTTGTAAGGATACCAGTCACATGGGTACTGGGGGTTAGGACTTCAGCATATCATTTTGGTACATAATTCAACCCATAACCGATGGCATACTTCTTTGTAGAGTACAGAGTAATGGTTAAGGACAGAGTTCCTTGAGGCACGGCTCCTTGAGGCAGAGTGCCTGCGTTCAAATTCATAACTTGCTTGCTACGTGATGTTGAATAAGCTGATTACCCAGTGCCTGAGTACTGTCATCTATGCAATGGGATAGTGGGACAGTCCTGTAAGGTGGTTATAGAATTGCAGTAAGGACAAAATAAGTTACCATATATAAAGCACTTAGTACATTACCTGGCACATACTATGTCCTCAATAAACTGAACTATTATCATTGTTATTAGCTCTTATTTATATATAATTTAAATGTATACAAGGAGTATCAGTGCCAAAAACTATTATTTAAGATAGCATTATGAAACAAAGCATAGGAAAACCAGGGATCGTAGGTAGAAATGTTGCATGAATAAATAAAAAGAGAGAGAGAGACTAGAATTTTTTAAATAAGATTTTCTTTTTAATGCATGCAACTGTAATACTTTAAAAATGTCAGCCTGCTCACTCTTTTAGATTACCTGTCTGGCCCCTATATGCACTTGAAGCTAACTGAAGACCCAAAGAACTTCAAACCCAGAAGCTTAGATATTGCCTGTTGGGTTGTTGAGCACAATGGTTTGCAGATAACAATAAAGGCAGTTACTCCAGGGAGAGTGTCCAAGGAACACTGATTTCTAAGCCTTCCTACTTATCTCCTTGGGAGCATGTTACCCTCTACCTTCTCCTTATAAATCTTCAGGTTAAAATTATC